TATACATACATACATACATACATATATATATATATATATATAGTTCAAAGTAGCACGTAAATGCATCCTACCTTTCTTCTCATGGCGGCCAAGAAGCGTTCCTGGGTGTGTAAGCCATAGTCTCTTTTGAGGACATTACCAACCATGATGAAGATATCTTTAGCCGAACCCTTAGCCAGCATATACAGGAAGGACAACAATGTCTTCTCAAACTTCATGGCGGGATAAGAATAGGGAAGGATTCGGGTTAAAAAGAGATCTGCATGTTAAATATAATGGTGTTATGTGGGTGGTATGCCATGACAAATCCGTGCTGCGATGAGATAAAAAAATAACTCGTGTATATATATATATATATAAATATCCAACTTACCGAGGAGAGTGAGTCGTCAGCCGTGTCCATTGACACCAGTACTAGGAACCTTGGTACCCATGATTTGGTTCTGTTGTACTTGAAGTCGTCTGGTATCTCGTGCAGTTGTCGTGCTAAGAAGTTGTCTAGTCCCGTGAGTTGGTTGAGCATCGTGTTTGTTCTTCTAATCGATGACCTGTGTTGGTCAGAGAAGTGCATTAGATGGGCATATATAATCCAGGATATATTGATTCGGTATATGTTTATATATATGTATATACCGTATATCTGTAATTCAGTATATATATAATCCAAGATATATTGATTCGGTATATGTTTATATATATATATATATCCCGTATATCTCTAATTCAGTATGTATATAATCCAGGATATATTGATTCAGTGTATATGTATGTGTATATATGTGTAATTCAGTATACGTATAACTGTTCGGGTTGTTCATAACGTACTATCTCTTGGCATGAATGTGTAGCCCGTCATATAACTGTGCCTGATGTATTCCAGATATTCTTTAGAAAATTGCGACACTCAGTTCACCATTCCGCCAACACCGCCCGCCCCCTTGCGTCTATTTAGGACCGAACTTCGCCCTAAACCCTAAAACTCTAAACCCTGGAACAACTGTTCCGCTGTGTAGGGCAGCGACGGAAACCCTGATACACAACACACACACACATACTATATACACTCTGCACACACACACAGTACCTGCGTTGGCTGTTGTTGTCTTCCTCTACTATGCCTAGCATTTGGGCTGGGATGTCCATGTCTGATCCAAGTATGATGTTACCTACCGCATCACGCGCCCTAGCATTCCGAGCCTCGGCAAGCTTCAACATCATGATATACTTAGACACCACCTGCAATGGAGAGGTGTGTGTTGGGTGTAGTGTATGAGCACCAAGGCGAGATATAACACCATCATGGACTCAGACACCACCTACAACGAATATATATATATATATCCATATACAGTACAGCCGTCCCTATCCCCCCCGTACACACCTCCTGCTGTTCCATCGAGATCAGTGCCTTTGTGGCCAGGTGTAGCTGCATGCTCTGTAATCCTGATCCCCATATCTCTGTGTTGACGCGGTATTCGATGTAGAAGGCCAACAGCACACACAGCACCACTGACACCAGCGCAGCTATCCAGTTGAGTGCAAACATCAACGCGAAACAGCACACCGTCCCCGCGAGAGCGGTGATGTACGGGTGGTAGTATCTACATGGGAGGTGTAGGTAAGCTTGTAGGTAAATATGTAGGTAAGCGTGTAGGTATATGTGTAGGCAAGTGTGTTTGTATGTGCGTGCGTATGTCACAGTATAGCTATCCAGTTGAGCGCAAACATCAACGCGAAACAGCACACCGTTCCCGCGAGAGCGGTGAAGTACGGGTGGTAGTATCTACATAGAAGGTGTAGGTAAGCGTGTAGGTAAGCGTGTAGGAATATGTGTAGGAAAGTGTGTAGGTAAGCGTGTGGGTCAGCGTGTAGGTAAATGTGTAGATAAGTGTGTTTGTATATGTGCGTGCGTATGTCACAGTATAGTTATCCAGTTGAGCGCAAACATCAATGCAAAACAGCACACGGTTCCCGCAAGGGCGGTGACGTACGGGTGGTAGTATCTACATAGAAGGTGTAGGTAAGCGTGTAGGTAAGCTTGTAGGTAAATGTGTAGGCAAATATGTAGGTAAGCGTGTAGGTAAGCGTTGATGTACAGGTGATAGTATCTACATAGAAGGTGTAGGTAAGTGTGTAGGGAGGTGTGTTTGTGTATATATGTGCATGTGGCAGTATGCGTCTGTGGGTGGTTTGTGGGTGCGTATAGAGAATATGTATAAAGTGTCATGTTAGGTGCTAGCTGTCAGGTGTCAGAGGTCAACTGCAACGTGTCACGTATGGAGAGTGGACTATCAAATGAAAGTGTCCCCTGTCAAGGACTTCACGGGCCAATGAGTAAGTGGAGATGTGAACCCTAAACCCTAAAAACTATAAACCCTAAAACGAAAGTAAGGTTCTTGAATTCAAGTCGGATGCCAAGTGAGAAATATCGAGTATCAGGTGTCAAGTGTCAAGTGGTGATACGACAGTTGCTTACTTGAAACCGGGCCGCCACGAGGGACTCTTCAACACGGAGAGGAGAAAGCAGGTGAAGTTAACCGTGGCATAGCTCAGCAGAAACATCATGCTGTGAAGTAGGTAAATATACATATATATATATATATATATTAATATAAATAGATTAATATACATGTGTACATAACACTTTCTACAAGGTACATATTGATTACAAAATGAATGATAGAGAACTACTACGAATACAGTACAACTTATACGGCACACTTTGTTTACGACAGTCTTGGCCATATCTAATCTGGTCGCAAAAAGAAAACCGACACCACAATTTATACAACACTTACGTAACGATTGTTGCCACAATGTCCAGATTTGTCGCAAACACAAAAGGTAGTGCTATCAGTAAACACAGCACGGTGGCACGTGCAGGGAAGCCATCCGCTCGTTTGTTTTGTAAGCCTGTGAAAGGAGAAGTGAAAAATATGCGACTTAATAGATATATATATAAATAAGCGGCATAATATATATATATATATATATATATACTATATATTATATATATATATATACTATATATATATAT